AAAAAAAAAACAAAGGGAGCGTCCTTGTTGCGGAATCCGCTTACAATGCACAAAATGCACAGTTTGGCCTCATAATGGAAAAAAATCAATAATAAATTCGTATTCTCGGTAATACAAAATTCATCGGTAATACTGCTAATTTCATCCAAAATTTGCTATTGAACAAGTTAATAAACTCGCCAATATTCAGCTCAAATAAACAAGTTGGCGCAAGCTAGCCACAAGAACCGGTCGGTAATGTCCATGTCCTTGAGGCAAAAGTCCTTGCTCTTTTTCACGGTCAGCCTTAATCAAGGCTGAACCGAATTAGAACCAAAAAAACTGTTAAAACGGTCAAATGGGGCTATAGCCGCTCGGGTCTACATATTTTAAGGTCTGCGTATGGGGAGACTCGAACCCGGTTGACCAAAGTGAGAGGTTTGTCCCTTGGCCGCTTGTTCATCTGCCCTCGTTTTATATGCATTTGTACTCTGGTTTTATAAGCATTCATACTTTTGTTTATATTTGCGTTGCAACATCCTCCCTCTCTGAAGAAGGAAGAACCGGAGCGAGCTTAACGGTCGGCCGAGTGACTTCAGGGGTTATGGTCTTAACAAGGACGGATCGGGCGCAACCGTCCTGTCCGCAGTTTAACTTGACGATTCGGGCGAGAGGTTAGTACACACGCGGACTATCGGGCTCAATCACCCACACGAGATCGCCTGTCTTAAGTGTGGAGTCAGAATGAGAGTGCCACTTGACACGCTTATTCAGTGAGGGAACATATTTTCGAAGCCAACGAGATAAAATAGCGTTAGCATACGACTGCGCTCGCACGTACCTTTTCTTGTGGTAGAAGTGCTCCCCATATAAAAGCGAAGGAAAGCTTGTGGCATGTTGTCCAAGCAAAAAATGTTTTGGCGTTAAAACTTCTAACTCACGTGAATCAGTACTACCGGAGTGATTGGCCTCAAATTCAAGGCCTGCTCAACTAAGCAGAGTGTTGTTCCTAACACCTCTTCGGTGATTCGCCTACTGCCTAGTATATCATAAAGCACGCGCTTGACGCTTCGGACGAGGCACTCCCAGGAGCCGCCATGATGAGGTGCGCCTGGCGGGTTAAATTTCCAAGCAACATGTTTGTGTGCAAAAATGGTTGGAGCCATGCCGTTCCAATTCTTGCTGCAGGCAAGCAATTCCTTTTCCACACCAACAAAATTCGTGCCGTTATCCGACCAGATCGACTTGGTGTACCACGACGCGCAATGAACCGTTCATTGCCCTTGACACAAGAATTAGTGTCCAGATATGGTACGATCTCAAGGTGTTCAGCTCTGGTGGCGAGGCAAGTGAAAAAGAATCCCCATCTTTTTTCAGTGCTTCTGCGAACCGGAAAATAAAGCGGTCTAAAATAATCCACAGCCGTATGATTAAATGGTGGTTGCTTATATCCGAGACGTTCGACAGGTAAATCGGACATAATTGGCTGGATGGTACTCGCTTTGCGTTTACTGCTCTTTACACATTGATTTTTGATAGACCAAAGTAGTCGACGCAACCCAAGTATTGCATATTTTATCTTTAAAACGGAGCGCATGTAATCTAAGCCTTGGTGAAAATAGTTATGATGGAGGCTGCGGGCCAACAAACGAACTAGAATATGTCGGGCGTCGAGTAATATTGGATGCTTAGCATCAAACTCGGCATATTAAGCGCACGATTCGTCCGGTGGAACGAATGATACCAGCGGGATCTATAAATGGCGAGTTTGTGGCAATTTTACTACTTTTCTTAATAGTTTTGCTAGTGGTGAGTGTTTACAACTCAACTGGGAAAGATTCCATCTGAGCAAGATGAATTAGTTTGCTTTCCGCAAAATCAAGTTCAGTGGGATCGGTAATCTGCAAGTCCTTACCGCGAAAATGCTTATGTGAAGGCAGCATCCTCAACATAAATGCGACAACTCTTTAATCTCTCGTAAAGGAACTAAACAATTCCCAATTGAACCCATGTTCGGTAAATTTGGGGGATGTGACATCGGTGACGAAGGAAGGCGATGTCTCTAAGCAATTATCGACATCAAAAAAAAGAACCCTTCAAACGAATTTTATTGATCACACGTTCGTCGGGTATAAACGCCTAATCAGTCGTCCTGAGAATGCTCGGACATATAACCCAGCTGCTATCCTTAATGGCTATCAGGTGGATCAGGCTATCAAGGTACCAGTATCAGGTGGGTTATCGCCGCTCAGAAAATGGTGCCACTCACCTATGCGTGTCGATTCGAGGATTTCGCCGACACGGTTAGCGACGAAGACAGGTAATTTGTCACTGGAGTTTAGCCACTGCAAAACTGTAGTATTATCTGCCCACATGTAGACCTGATTAGTTTTAACGGTAGGTGCTTTCAGTATATCATCTTTCAGTCGAGTGAGGAGCAGAGAAGCTTGAAGCTCTAGCTTTGGTATAAATAGCACTTTCATGGGCGCAACGTGAGCTTTTCCAAAGATGAAGGGTATTAGAGTTTTGTGCGAACTCGAGAGTCGCGCACGCAAAAACTCAACCGCACAGAAAACGTTCTGCGAGCTATCACCGAACATGTGGAGCTCAATTGGATCTACAGGTTCTGTGAATTAACAGCGGGGAATATTCAATTGCCCTAAGAGAGGGAGACCGGAGTGCCACTCGAAAAATTTCTTATGTCTTCCCGCAATTCGTCATCCCAACTCTGGCCACAGATTTTCCAAAGATCTTTAAGCAAAAGACAGGCCCTAACTGTGTATGGAGCTACTAACACAACATGGTCCAACACAGAAGAGACGAAACTCGAGAGGACGATTAACGCCTCTGCTAACAACCAATGTGTCTTTCACATGGTCCCACTTAAAACCTTATATGTGTGATGAATATTCGGCACCGTTACTTTTCTTTAATGGGTGGAGACGAGGTTTCGCAATTCTCGAAGTTCATTGCTTAAAAAAATTGTATCAGTCTTTTCGACAAATCTAGTCAAAATAAATCCTCCCAACTTGAGTAATGAAACCAAATCACGGCTATTTTTAATTGCATAGGTAAGGTCCTCGAACGAATCCAAGTAATCGTCCATGTAAAAGTTTTCGTTTACGAGTGATGCGGCCTCGTTTACGAGAGTATGTGGACATATTATCAGTTGCTGTTTTTCGCAACGCAAAATTTGATCGCGGGCGAGGACTCCTGCCTGGAGGAACATACCCTCTATATCCGCGGAGACTGAATGCCATTGTGAACGGTTTCAGAATTAAGGATGGATAAAGCATGTTTATCCGCGGTGGAACGGCTATCGACTTGTTTGAACGCACCATAAGATTCCAGCTCATACCAGGATTTTATCTTGTCAGTCAAAGAGGAATCTTTAACAACACACTTGAAACACGAAGAAGTAAAACAAACGGACGGCGGCAACAGACCAGTTACGACCCAACCTATGGGTAGGCGAACGGAACATGGTGAGTTTTTATCATCTCCCAAGATGAACTCAATGGGTCTATCGGCGTGGTAGTAGTCTTGTCCTATAATAACTTGAACGTCCTCATAAGTATTTTGAGTTGGTTTAATAGGTGCTAATTGTGGATATTTATTCTGCAAATCAGCAATATTGACTAATTCGGAACCAATTCGAATGTTGTCTTTAACATATGCACACAGAGGGAATACGAAATCACTATTATTCGCCTCGGAGGAATTTGTAAACTCTCTGAGTTTCAACAACTGTGTTTGAATTGAAACCACTAATTGACAAGTTAACGAGCTCGCTCATTAAGCCGAGATGGTTAACGAGTGGAAAAGACACCCAAGAGTGAGTCGATGCACTATCACAAAGAACCAACGTCAGGAGACTGGTTACATCCGAGTTCACACCAAGTGTTGCAATCGGCAACAACTTTTTAGATGATTCAATTTCATGTACATCACTAACAGCTGCGTGGGTGGAAGTGTTTGTATTCTCCTTGGACTTGTTTGCTCCAGCCTTATTTGAGTCATTCAAATTTTTCTTACGAGAAAAGTTTTCTGGGCTAAATGGAACAAGAAAATATGTGTGCTATTGCAATCTGGCTTCGGGCATTTTTTAGCTCTAGAACATTGCAGGAAACTATGATTGCCATTAAAGCAAGCGAAGCAAAGTTTTTGTTCAGCTACATATTTTGCTCGCTGAGTAGCATTCTTTTTCTTGAAAACAGCCCAATTCCACAAAGCATGACTACCCGTACACAAAACGCAGGGCGGAAACTTGGACTTATCCTGTGCTTTTTTTAGTTACCTTGCTATTGGCTGCAAAAACTTTGGTTATTTTTGGCTTAATTGGTTCCTCGTTTTTTGCCTTAGCGTTAAGTACACGTAATATCTCATGTCCCTTGGCCTTTTTTTTCAAACAGTTATTAAAATCTAGGAGTGTTGGGTGCAGCCAATTATGCCTAACAGTATGCATTGACCAAGCTTCCTTGAGGTTAGGCGGAAATTTACTAACCGCTTGGTTTAACAGGTTCACACTCTTCAGTTCATTGTTAATTGACATTAATTTAAAAACTGCTACGAGGCCAGATATGGCAGAGGAGAAATTAATGACATTTTTCGAAATGTGCATCTTAAGTGGAGAAAAAGTTTTTAGCTTATCAAGATGCGCACCAACAATAGCGTGTGGTTGCCCAAACTTCCGTTGCAAGGTGGCCCGTGCGTCCTTGTACATAACGCTACTATAACCAAACTCCGCAATTGCTGTTTTTGCTTTGCCTGTGACCAGTGTTTTTAAGTATGTCAGTTTCGTATCGTCTGTGAGAACAGCGGAATCAACGGTGGACTTAAACTGACGAAACCATTCGGGCCAATTTAACTGGTTGCCAGGAAAATGATCGTTGCGGCTGTGCATTAACAATTCCGCCAATTCACGAGCAGAGAAAGGTCGATCCGACGAACAAACTTGGTTCGGATTAGGAAAAGATGGTGCGTAGTCTTCGTTGACTGGCTGATAACCAGTATTTCTATTAATGACAAAATGCGGAACATGTAGAGGATTAACTGGTGGAGTAATAAAATACACAGTCCAACCACTAGTATAGGGGACGGCTGTGTTACACGGTGGGGTAGCAATTGTCACATTAGAAAAAACGTTTCCAGCCTGACAACACGGAACGGGCGTGACTATTGGAGTTGTAGCGGCCAATCGCCATAAGTTTGCATGACTTGTGTAGTAATCGTTGATATTAGGTGACACAGTTTGCGGTACAAAGGGAACATAATGATGCGTCTGGACTGGCGCTGCATGGCAATGATGTGCCGAAAGGAAAACCGGTGGTGGGTTTACTCCAGAAGATGAAAAGTCACTACCAGCAAATCCAGTTGACAAAGAAACAAAACCAGTACCGGGTTGTGCCGGTAACATTGGGACAGTTAATGATCCGGTTGCCTGTTGGCAAAACCACCATTACTTATGTTTGAACTCTTAATCTGCAAAGGAACAGCAGACGGCGTTGGTAACACGTGTGCACTAGCATGCATTTTGTTAACTGGGAATGAAACAGATGGAACAGAAGCTTGCAATGGCAAAACGTTTGCACTGCCAAATAGAGGCATAGCCCAATTTCCATGACTATGGGTTCCAGGGTCACTCAATAATGCGTGCTTGTGGTTATGATTATTACTTGTTAGATGTTAGATGCATGAACGAGGTTTGCGAAAGTCGTCAGTTCTGACGAAACTGTTACAGGAGTGAAGGCCAGCAAACCTAGCGCACTAGCACTGTCAGGCGGTGCCTGTGAACCAACGGAGTCTACCCAAGCATTATTCCGATCGGTTGCAACTTTTCAAATAGGTTGACATACTCCTGTCGAGTTACTTTCCGCTACCTTCTCGCTAACCTCAGATGATTTATCCTCAATTTCAAACACTTTCATTTCCATTTTAATCAGTTGCTTTTTATGACTTTCAGCCAATTGCTTTAGTTCCAGCTGCCTTTGTTCGAACTTAAGACGATCCTCTTGCTCTTTGAGCCTTACAGATACTTGATACTGTCTTTCCAGCTCCTCGTGGCGTGGTTTTACTAAAGCTAACTCTTGCCGCTTCTCACTTGATGACATAGTGTGAACAGTCGAGGTATGACGAGAGGAAGCAGATTTATCAGACATATGTGATTAACGTTTTCTACTTTCCTTAAACTCATTAGAGACCTTAGACCTGTTTCCAGATACTAGAGCTTCTAAAACTCTTGTTTTGTGCGAACGTAAGGATGTCTCAGACCTAGTTTGTTGTAAAGGTCCCTTGCTCCCTGTAACGCCGGCTGCTGAAAATGACGAAGGTTCAAGGCTCATCTTGTGACTCGTTTATCGTTCATTTCGGTTAGTTTCTTAAGCCAAATTTCTAGCTGAGCAATAATTTTTTCAGAGTTTTTCGTTTTTCCTGCTAAGCTAATTAACTGCTCAATTACGTCAACAGCTTTTTCCAACGCAATTTTACATTTGTAAACAGCATTATCAATTTTTGCGGTGCGACTATTGTTCTCAATGCACTCAAGTAAAAATGAGTGGCCTTTAAGCAGCTCTTGTTCTCATTTTAGACAAATTTCAAATAACGTTTGTATCTCGTTCTGGAATTTTTCGTCCACATTTTTCCACAAATTGACTCTAATTTACGGATGCTCACTAAATAGAAAACAATTAGTAAAATGAGATAATGTTTTGATACGTAATTAAATTGACATTAAAATATCAACAAAATTTTACAAGATGGATGAACTTGACGTCTCAACGCTTCTACCTGAAGCCTATTTTTATAGCTTTTCGAGCTATGAGTGATCAGCGGATCCGCTTCCTATGCGTCTTAAGGATGTTAAGATTAGCGCTAAATCCTTAGAAGTAGGAGAGTCGTTAACTCTAGGGAAAGAGGCTGGTGAAGCTCTTTGTACTTCTCAATTAGTACGTAGTCCTTAGCCTTAGTGATAAAGTCTTTGACGACGTTCAGAACGAGAATACCTGTTGAAACTAAACTTTCCTCTATATCCTCGTTTCCGTTCCGTCTACAGTTACGATCGCACAGATATTTGTCCCATACCTTAATAACAAACTGACAAGTTTCTCACTACTCAGCTTGCGGTTGTTGTTGCTGCGGTGCCTACTTATCGAGATATTAATGGCGTCGTGACAAATTACAAGGTCGTTGCGGTGAGACAAGTAGTGATGAAGGTAGTACTGTATTGTACTCTGCGAGTCCCTAGCGTTTAAGTTCAAACTTAAACCTAGCTTTGTAAAGCAAGTAACTTTGATGCGCTTCTGGGACGAAGCGGGAAGTTTTCGAAGAGCGTGATCCAAGGAACTAGCTCCTAGAAGGAATATTATACACTTAAACGACCTATGCGACGTCTATGTTACGCTGTGGTTGGAAAGTACCAATGGTGTTGGAAAATTGGAGTAAACCTGACGATGAAATAATTCATTTAACCCACTTAATATCACCATACCTGACCACTCAACATTAGTGTCAAGCAACGAAGTCAATAATCGGACTGGCAAAAACGGCTTTGATACACTTGAAGCGAACTGGCTTTCAGTTTGACCAAAGGTGGGTGGGGGATCAGGCAAATTGGTTAAGTTCGAAAAATACACGCGGAAAAAATCTGAGGATGAAAAAATTCAACCTAATTTGCCTAATATTTTGCTACCAGACCAACTAAGATAAGCGGGTGTAGTCTTACAGCACTGTTTTGCAGAATTCTGGGGACGTTTTGAGGATTTTTTGAGAATTTTTTTTAGTTTTTTCACAAAATTTTCCGGAAAATTTTGATCACCTGGTTCGAGTCATAAACCAATCCAAAAACTAGTTAAGTACCTGTTGTCTATGATCCGATTTCACGGATTAATATGCCGTTCACATTTATCCTAAAATTTTTGGTATTGAAAAAAATGTCAAGTACAGATTGTAAGATATTTCAGTCCAACGGTAGTCACAAAAATTACCGGGTGCTAGCTTGCGGAAAAAATTATAGCATATATCACATCGTATACAGATTCATAGCACAAATGGAAAGTTTTAAAAGTTTTGAATCATTTTTACAGTTTTTGATGATTTTGGAGAATGGCGTCACCGGGAAAAATCCAAAAACTTCGGGTGTCGAGAAAATCACAGCTGCGCTTCGATCAAAAGTCAACAATCAGGAAACCTGAACAGGCCTCTATGTCAGCTTTCGGCTAGCAGCACACTTTCGGTCAACTGGACAGTCGACCAACACTCTCACTTCCGACGAATTTCGTTTAAACTGCACAATCTGACATTTTTTGGCCAGTTCGCACAATCTGACGCTTTTCTTCCAGCTGGACAGTATGTTAAAGTTCGGCCAATTCGCAGTGTCTGATAATTTTTATCTAACTGTGCAGTCTGGTACTACTATGATAGAGTGGTCCCTCGAAAAAGCAACCATGATAGACAGGTCTTGCATGCATTTCGCGTCTTATAAATTTGAAAACTAGTTTGTTTATAAATTATTCATTTGATAAATCTTGCAAAATATGTTCAGCCAGAAACTTTTCAGATTGAAAATTGCAATCACACTATTGTTTATATATTGAAATTTGCTCGCTTTACTTTATTTTACGGTTTAACAACCATATAATTGGGTTGACTTATTTGTCATCAAAACCTACTACTGGCGGTTTTTTTTAAAAAAAAATTTCAACCTTAAAATGGTGACGGGAGGTTTTAAGAGATAACAAAACATGAAACTTGTTTGAAAATATACTGCTACATCTTTCTGAAAGGCGTAATCATAATTATTAAACAATTTGAGAGCTCTAGGTGTCTTATTCTCAAGGGACCTGGTTATTTTCATCAAGGGACCACTCTATCATAGTAGTTCCTGCAGTCTGACAACTTTTGCGGTTTTTAGGCTAACCGGACACTCTGTCATGAATTTCGAAGTTTTTCGGCCAACCACACAATTCGGCCTGGTGATCACTCCGACGATTTCGGCCAATCGCACAGTTCGGCCAACTAAACACTTTAGCCCGATTCGGCCAATTGAACTTCAATCGGACAACTGCTACTCGACCAACTGGACGAATGCGAGAATATGACGCTTCACGATTTTGCTGCACTTCGTGTCGTTGTCGATCCCAAACTCGTGTCCCTTGTGTCGACCGACTTCCTGTCGTTGTCGGTCCCTTGTCGTGAAAAGAAAATAGTCGTGGAGAGAAAGGCTAATTTGCTTATCGTCTATTTTTCTAGGCCCGTGTCATTCGCTACTAAACTGTAGAATTTCGGGGGGGGGGGGGTAGGCAGTTAGACGATAAGCAAATTAGACGGATGCTACAAAAACGAAATTAGACGGAATTTATTTTTTACAGATCTGGCATTTTACAGATCTAGACGAAAAAGCTATGAAAATGAAAGGGCCAACAAAATTTTTTCTTAAGAGTCAAGTTTCACAAATTCAAAAAGAACTGTCAAATCCGAATATTACAAGAGAGTTTTGAATTGAATAAATTATGCATGATTGACTTGTAAAATTTTT